TGGTTTACAGCTGCAGAAATATGTGGAGATGAAAATAGCTTTAACAACACATTTTATGCTTAATCTTTTGGTATTACCTCTATCATCCCTCTGCAGAACGATCTCTCTTTCTGCTTAACAACATAAGGATTAAAAAAATCATGCATCTTTGGAGACGGCAATGATGTAACAGATAAACAAATTTCTTTTATTTTCAAATATAATGTAAGCCACAGATATATATATATATATATATATATATATATATATATATATATATATATATGTGTGTGTGTGTGTGTGTGTGTGTGTGTGTGTATGTACCCGCGCGCGTGCGTGTTTTTATACGTTTCAACAGATTTTAAATAAAAATGCTAAAAATTGTGTAGCTTTTGGTGGGTTTTTGGTACATTTTCAAAAAAATGTGGTACTATTCCCCAAAAAGTTGTTTATCGGCCCGGATGAGCACTCACGTTTCGGCACGAATGCTATACTTTTTTCCACGAGTGCCCATCAACAGATGCCAGTGTCTTTCAACGTTATTAAGGGGTCAATACACGGCATTTCTTTCCAATTTATGACAAAAATATCACTTTTTCAATGTGTTAGTTTTTGTAAAGTTCGGCATTCGTAGAATAGATGACACACAAAATTTATGTCATTTGTAAACAATTTAGCATTGAAAATTTAATACTAACGACACCACCTCATGCACTTTTTTAAGATAAAAAAAGTTTAAAAGTCAGTTTTCTCAAATCTATATATATATTTCAGTTTGCTGTGTGTGTGAAATCCTAAAATCTAAGCTAATATAAAGAGTAGAAACATGAAATTTTGTAGGCATACTCCATCAAAATATTATAGGGACTGGTCTATCTAAAAGTAGATTTCATAAAGTTTTTGTTTTCTAAAATTTGATTATTGTCTTATGATGCTAGATTTTTTTGACTTTTTCAATAAACCTACATTTTAAAAGTCTACGAAAAATATTTAAAAACATGTTTAAAGTAAATAAACTAGACCTGTAACTCTAAGTAGAATAACAGGTCATGGATCCATCATCTATTGTTGAATATCTATGTTTGTTTTTAAAATTTTAGGATTCTAAGTACATATTTTTTTTCACAAGATGGCGGCTATTGCCATGACAACTATGATTTTTTAATCACTTAAAGTATACAAATGTAATAAAATGTATCCCTACAAATGACCATCATAAAATAACTGTTCTAAGTCTGTAAATAAAAAAATAAAATTTTTTGGTGTAGTGACCCCTTAAGCGCCTCTCTGGCACATCAAGTGTCTTTCTCTGTCTCTTTTTCCCTCAAATCTTTCCAGTTCATATCTTCTCATTGTATGGCTAAAAAATGATGACTGTTCACTTGTGATGTTTGTGATTAGCTGTATTAGAGTCTTTAAAAAGGGTTACTGTCCTCTTCTGATATTTGTTGCATGTTGTTTTCGGGTCTTCCCATCTTTCAAACATCTACGGTATTAACTGTGTAATTTGTAGACTGCACTAAAAAAACCTCATAACAATTTAACTAGGACTAAATAGAATGTCGTGTCATTGAAGCCCACACGGCCACAGAAATAAAGACAGACCACACAACAACAAGGGAGCTAGAGAGTGAAGTTAAAAAGATGGGGAGGACATACGTTGAACTGCATGCGATAGCGAAGGAACGACGGCGTGAATGTGAGAGCATATGCTCCATTGGGGGATAGAAGACAGAAATAGTCTATAAAGTTTGATGATGATGAATCAAGGGAAACTACTCTCATTCAGTTGATTTGTTCATGCTTTCTAGCAGTTTTCGTGTTTGCAACGAAGTTTAGACAGTGCATGTATACATATTTTATGCACATAAACATTTATACAAACGAGAAAGTTGTTTGATTGAAGACATTCAGTCCAACCTCTGTTGATAATTGATTGACATTTTATTTTAAATGACTGTTTTTAATTAAGCAAGCGGCGAACATTCATGTTCAAGTGGCAGGTGCTTTCAGTTTTGATTGTTGAGTGCAGTTCAACTCATTTACAAGTGATTTTTTTTTAAAGAAAGAAATAAAACTGAAGGCTTTTTCATGCAACAGTGTAGAGTACTGGCACATTTTCTATGCATTTTATGGTCAGAACCTACAAAATTTTGTCTGGGGAAAAGCCCTGACTAAAATAGCAGACACAATAAAAAATGTGGAAGGCAGAACTTTAAAATAGAGATATTGAAACCCTAAAATCAACTGTTGCTCAAAAGCCGCACACACACTGAGCACTCAATCAAAATTATATACTGCTTATAAAATATAATTATAATACATGGTTTTCAAGTCAGTGTTCCTACATTTCTTATACTACACATATTTTATTGACAACAAATTCTGTTGACTATTCTTCGTTTTTATGAGTGCAGGTATTAAAAAGGGATTCCAGTGGGTCATCACTGGAACTACAGAAATGAATCTTTCTCTGGTATAAATGGTTGGCGATCAGCTGCTAAGCAGAGAGAGAGAGAGAGAGAGTCGTAAGAGATTAACTATTACAGCCTAGAGCACAGCTTTCGTCATAACACACCTTTGTGTCCATTTAAATTACCAGCTCATTGGCCTGAATGCATGGCCTGAAAGCTGGCAGCTATGTAGCCATCTCTTAATACCATTTTTTAAAACTGTGCCGTCAGCGATTTTGTACTGTAAGCTAAACTAAAATGGCGGGTGGGCCAGTATGTTTATTTTGGCCTGTACTTATGAAGTATTGCATGCACAGTGCCAGCTTTCTGATTGACTGCTTTACATTAACAGTGAGCTGACATGATACTGTTAGTGTTGGCACTAAATGCCTTATGCATTTACTTTGCTTGTCCAAGCTTTAAGATTATGCTGCTATTCATGAGTCTTTCAGACTGACACACTGAATGACACCTATATTTTATTATTATATAATTCCAGACACCTAATTGACAAGGATGTTTCCTTAATGTTCTTTATTTACCCTTAAAAGTGTGGTTGGTATGTTTGGTTGTGGTTTGCATTGTCTTATCTGTCCAAGACATTCGATTTCAGTGAACCCTTAATTACTTGCTTTTCATTACATGCTCGGGGGAGTGGGGTGAAGTCTGTTCTTTCCCCCTAGAACAGGATCCCAGAACCCACACATGGTTGGGTGCTATAAATGAATGTGAATATAAGAATCTTGCGATGACCAGTGAATCAGCAGCCTTGACCACACTGTAAGATCAGCAAGTTAAAAGTGGCGACATCAGACAAGAGTTTTACACACAAAGCCAGTGAAGAGGAGCAGGTCAACACAGAACTAGTATTGTACGTCCCTTCACTGAAAATAACTGCCAGTAGTGGTACAGAAGTTGATGTTCCTACTGCCATATTTAACTGGAAACAATTTCTATGTGCCAGTACTGATATATGTGAACCTTCGTATCCATTACCTGTGTAGCTGTTTGTGTCTCCTTATAATTCCTTCTTATACACTCGACTCCTTTTGTGGGTTCTGGGGCCCCATTTTGAGGAAAACAAGAATAGACTCACTGCCTACCTAAAAGCATGTGTTAGGAGTCGACTAATTCTGGACATCCTTTGAAGTTGGAGTATATCTGCCTGAGAGGCAAGGAACCACAAGTCTGCATACAAATAAGCCAGATCTGTGAAACGGATATGCATGCAGCACTCAGGTTCTGGAAGAAGACTAAAGTCCAGAGGTGAATGAACACCCAGAGCTTTCCCTTGGAGTTTACAGCCAGCGAACGTGAAGAAGAAGAAGATACACTCAACCCAGTGATGTCATCATCTATCCATATGGCGCAATGATTCATTGGGTGCGGTCTGGGTGGGCATGTACAGTGAAGGTGAATTGAAGGTCAATAAAGGAGGAAAAACTGGCATTCAGTTCATCTAATTCTAGCATGAGATAGACATAGTATTTGTAAGAGGGCACTTGCATGGCTTGCCGGGCCTAAAGCAACTCACGCACTGATAGTGACAGACTCAATGGGCATGGTTAAGAAGATCCAAACTGGCAAACTCCAACTAGACTGGGTTGACAAAGATAAGATGTGATGTGACAAATAAAACAGTCAGAGATGATGACAGATGATGAGCAACCTGGTGGAAATGGGTACTGAACGAGGGAAAGCATGTAGAAACTGACTGTTGCACAAAGAAAGAAGATATGTTAATCAGGTCCTACAGAGTACCATGGAGACACTGACATATCTGCTGCATTAGAGGCTGGAGCATAGAAGGGTCAGACCTGTATGCTAGGAAGTCGATTCACATAACAAGTTTCTTCTTTGTGTTCACCGGCTGTGAATTCTGGTAGAAAGTCCTGATTGTTCGTCCATTTTAACTTTGACTTTGTACCAGGACCTAAGTTTTGTCTGTACATCCGAAGTAACAGTTATTTTCTTTCTTCTTCATCTTCATCTTCATGTTCACCAGCTATAAACTCAGGCGAAAATTTATGGTTATTCATCCACTTCTGGACTGCAGTCCTGTTCCAGATCCTGAGTGTTGAGTGTGCATCCATTTTACAAATCTGACTCATTTGTATGCAGACTTTCGGTTCCTTGCCTCTCATGCAGATGCAATCTGATTTCGTAGGAAGCTCCCAATTAGTCGACTCTTACGACATACTTTTGGATAGACAGTGGGTATATTCTTTCCCCCCCCCCCCCATAATAGGGCCCCAGAACCCACACAGGGAAGTAACAGTTATCAATTCCTTCTTGTAGGTTAAGCCATGCAGCTTTGATGATCGCTTCTATCCGTAGTTTTGACATTTTGTTTCATGGAGAGAATGTGGTATACTCAAGAAGCGATCAGCTAACTTTTGGACTGAATGACTGGATATTCAATGAGGATGATCAGTTAACTAAATAACTAACATGACAGAGTTTACTGCCATAATTATGTTTGTTTCTTACCTTACTACTCAATATTTTATTGTTTTAGCTGACAGATTTATAGGGACAATTGTGGCAGCTCTTATCTGATACTTGAGAATGGATTACCTTCACGATGTTTGTAGCTGCCTGAACGCGATGGATTCATCCAAAGTTACAGAGAGAAAGGTGATCACTAGCAGAATATTTGACATTTATTTCTTTTCTTCTTCTTCTTCTTCTTCTTCTTCTTCTTCTCTTCTTCTTCTTCTTCTTCTTCTTCTTCTTCTTCTTCTTCTTCTTCTTCTTCTCTTTCTCCTCCTCTTCTTTTTCTTGCTGCTGCTGCTACTTTAATGGTGGCTGCTGCTGCTCAGCGGTTCCTCGCTCCCCAGACAGATGTACACACTACCTTGAAAGGAAACACCTTTGTAATCAAGCTCTTTGGACAAAAAAAAATTAAAATATTATATAACCTTAGCTCTCAGGTCTACCCAGCCTCAAATGGCTACCTTTCCTTCAGAGTCAGAGTACATCTGCCTGAGAGGCAAGGAAACAACAGTTTGCATACCGATGGGCAAGACTAAAGTCCAGAGGTGGAGAACAACCAGAACTTTACAGCCAGTGAACGCAGAGAAGGAGAGGAATGGGTACCAGGTAAAATCCTATTAAGTCAAGATGACCACCAGGATGTTGACCACATCAGGCTCAGAGTGCCGATCGGTCTATAAAATATAGGTCAAGTATTACATGCCCAGTACACCTGAAGGCGTGGGAAAGTGTCCTTTTTACCTGGACATACGACTATAAGGCACTCACCCACCCACGTTGGACTGCAGGTGACTTTGTATTGCCAGGTTCCCTAATGTGACTACCAGGTGCTCTGATGTGACCGCCAAGCACTGTCATGTAACCGCCAGGTGCCCCAATGTAACCATCAGGTGCTCTAATGCTATCGTCAGGTGCCCTAATGTAACTATCATGTCCTCATGTGACTCATGTCCCTCTTGTACCGCCAGGTGCCTTAATGTAACTGTTGTACAGTTGAATGGGGTTTCCTAGGATTTGCTCTTATTAAATTCCCATCCAGATAGCATCTCTTTGGGTCACTGGATCTTTTCAGAATGTAGTCCTGGTAGGCGGGGTTTATATAACAAAACTAAAAAAATCTAAACGTATGTATATTTTGCATTAAATTAAAATTTAGATGGCGACAGAAAGTAAAAGACACATTGTCCCATTTTGAAAGAAACCAAACACAACAGTCTATAGAGAGGAGACACTGGAGAGTAAATCAGTCTCAAAGCGTGGAAGTATGTACTTTTTTGTGAAGTCCATGTGACAGAGACTGCCACTCCTGCATCAGACTTTACACTCACAGCAGATGCTGTTCCCAAAGCCAGCGTATCTCCATAGTGCCCCGGGACTGACGGATGTCATTAACATGTAAAATGTATGTATATTTTGCAGAAAACTACATGTCAAATGTGTGTATATTTTGCAGAAAACTACATGTCAAATGTGTGTATATTTTGCAGAAAACTACATGTCAAATGTGTGTATATTTTGCAGAAAACTACATGTCAAATGTGTGTATATTTTGCAGAAAACTATATGTCAAATGTGTGTATATTTTGCAGAAAACTACATGTAAACTGTATATTTTTTTACAGAAGAGTGCCACCCAGCTGGAGCAGCTCCTTGGCAGGATGTCAGTCACTGACGTTATCGACAGTAACACAGCTCGGGGCACAAGCGGCAGTAGATTGGTCACATGGGATGTAGTTTTAAAGGTCAGACTCGTCTTTTTCTCCTTGCTTATGTTTGACTCAAGTTCTTGAGCTATGACCAGTGTGGAAAAGGAGCGGGGCGAGGGGGTTTCTAGTAAGTGCCTTGTTAGGTTGGTCGGTAAATCTTGGCCAAATTTTACCAGTCTCAAGGAAGAAATCTGGCCCAGAGGAATGACCTTACAAGACAGACTATGTGGCATTGGTGAAGATCTTAAGAGCAACATCCAAACAGTTACCTCTACTGGAATAGGCACACTGGTGGTTGAAGAATAAGAATATTGGTGAATTTGAATTCTTATGTATGATAACACTGTGACAGTGGGAAAGTTGGAGGGGAAGAGAGGCAGAGAGAGACCAAGAGAGAAGATGCTGGTCAGTTTGGCATCATGATTATCTGTGTCAGAATTGATTGAAAGTACATGAGACAGAAGGTTGTGGATAGACATGACTACCAACATCACATGGCATGGACTATAAGAAAAAAAAAAGTATGATTTTTAGCCATACAGTGCCTATGTAAAGGGGCTTGTATCTGTCGGCATGAAATTGGTGTGTTTACATGTCCGGATCCTAGATCCTCTTTTTCATGTCTTCACTTTGTTGTAGTAAAGGACATTTGATTGACCTAGTGTCTCCAAGAGTAAAGTGACCAGAATATCTTGCGCTGAAAACGGGACATTCCACTAATATTTTGAGTCGAAAATTGGACATCCCACTAATATTTTGATCTAAAAACGGGCATCCAAGCAAGTCAGTTTAAATTCACATCCCCCCCCCCCCTCTTTTTCCTTTTTTAGGTAAACTGGGTGAAAGGGTTAATTACTAGCTCAGCAGTGGTACTATTTAAACCCGAACCTACATTTTCTTGGCACATTTACGTCCAGTAGTTTGCCTCTGCTTTCTGGATGGTATACTTCTCAATACCTTTGTTAAAACCATTCCAAGTCACAGGGCCCGCAGCTAGGATCAAACCTAGCAGCCTCGCATTGCGAGGCTTGTTCGCAACGCGCCACATACACATATGTGTGTAGAATAACATTCATGCCACTGTTTCCAGGGTGTTATCCGGTACATAGACACAGAAATCACAGCTTTACAATCAGCCAAAGAAAGCCAGTCAGCTACAACTTTGAACAACAGGGATAAGAAAAGGCAGGAACTGAGTTCCTTGTTCAGACTTGTCATCAGAACTGCCAATAAAGGTAAGTCGGTTGATACTGTCACAGTTAACTATAACAGATTTTAATTTTCCAGTATTGATATATGTGAACCTTAGTATCCACTATATGTTATGTAGGGGAGTCATCACGGAGTAGCGGCTAGACGCTCGCATGGCGATTGGAAGGTCGTGGGTTCACTCTCTGGTGGAGCCAGACTTTTTTCTTAATTTACCTTGACTCCCAGGTCAACCCAACCTTGAGTGGGTACCGGGTGTAGTCCCGGGAAGTAGAGGCGGCCAGAGTGATGCTGACCACATCACCCATCTTGTGCCGATTGGTCTCTAAAAATATAGGTCTAGCCCTATATGCCTAAACGCCTAAAGGTGTGGAAAAGGGACTTTGACTTACTTTAAATGTTATGTAGCTTTTTGATAAGGACTGCAATAGTGGTCAAAAGAGATAAAATCAGGAACAAGGTCGTAAGAAAAAACCTCGACACTGAAAAGGTTAGTTGCGTATCCTTTACAGGGCGTTGCATTTTCTAGGCAAATTTACGTCCAGTAGTTTGCCATTGCTTTTTGGACGGTCGGCTTTCTTGATACCACTGTCGAAACCAACGCAAGGCGCATGGCCCGCAGCTTGGATCGAACATGGCATTACGAAGCCATAGAGCCGACCTCGACATGGAAACAGCTCTAAATGACACACAGAGACAACAAACGCATCAAATGGTTTGCCCACGTAGAGAGGATGCCTTGTGATGCCAAACCATACAAGTCATACACTAAAAGCGGAGAAGGACATAGAGCATGAGGTAGACCAAGAAAACACAGAAAGATAACATCAAAGAAACTTTACAGCAGCATGATGTGTCACTGGCTGAGGCGGCCAGAAGAGTAGGAAGTAAAACATTATATTTTCCTTGACACCAAAAGCGGTGAAAGAATGAAGAGAAGAAGAAAAACTAGAAAAAGAAAAAAAATAATAATAAGAAGAAGAAGAGCAAGAAGAAGAAGAAAAAGAACAACAACAAGAAGGAACGAACAAACAAACAAACTTTATTTTCAGAGGGTCACAAATTGGGCATGCGGAACCGTCTTACGTTCAGCCCTTCCAAACACCCGCCTTTTACACAGCAGTTGTATTTTGTCAATAAAGCATGCATGTTATGTTCATATAATAATATGCATATTATGAATATCATGCAAAAAAAAACACAAAAGCATGGGTGGTAAAATGCATGTGTGCGTGCGTGCACACACACATGCACACTTACTCGCTCACTTACACACACATATACACCTTCATACACACACACATGTAAACATACACACATACAAATCATGCTTGCATACAGATACACACACAGTCACACCCACATATGCAGACACAAACACAGAGGCAAACACAAACGCAGACACACGCACAGACACATACACACAGGCAAATAAACAGACACAGGCAGACACACACCCAAGCAGAAACACAGGCACACAAAGGCAGACACAAACAGACAAACAAAGACACACTCACACAAACACACAGACACACACACAGTCAAACACATACACAGAACACCCACAAACACAGTCAAACACACACAGATTCGCACACAGACACACACGCAGATACACAAACGCAGAAAAATACACACACAGGGATGCACACACACACACACACACACACACACACACAAGACATATACACACAGACACACATGCAGACAAATATACATGCAGACAAATATACATGCAGACGCATACAGACACCCACACAAGACCTATACACACAGACATGCACACGTGCTTGCAGACACACAAGAAGAAGAAGTAGTAGAAGAAGAAAAACACGAAGAAGAAGAACAAGAAGAATAACAACAGCAGCAACAAGAACAACAACAGCAACAAGGACAACAACAGCAACAAGTAGAACAAGAAGAAGAAGCAGAATAAGAACAAGAAAACGAATAAGAATAGGAAAAAGAAGAAGAAGAAGAACCACTGGGTGAAACTGGGAAAAGACAGGGGTTGTATCTAGTCTCTCTGTGAATGGATCACAAAGTCAGCAGCTGTGTACGAGAACACAGATTTAAAAAAAAAATAACTGCCTTGTTATGGAATCATCATCATCATTCCATAACACTGCATGTCGTTGGGTCACCAGTTATTGTTGATTGTCTGATCAGCTGTCTCCACCTATGGCGGTCAGTTGCGATGGACTTCATGGTTGCAGGCTTGAGTCCTGTCCAGTCAGTCAGGTTCTGTAGCCAGGTCTTTCTTGGTCTGCCTCTTTTCCTCTCTCCCTCTACTGAGCCCTGCAATTTTGTTTTTGAGAGGCCGTTAGATCTTATTACATTTCCATACCATTGCATTTTTCGCCTTAGTTAAAGGTTCGTAGTTAAAAGAGGTTCATAGTAAGCAATTGTTATTGAGTGAATGCACTCTCAATAATGCTTTAAATATTACTGTATTTATTTTAGGATTAAATTTGTTTTTTTTTAATCATAGGAAGTGCAAAGTTGAGTTACCAGTTGCTGGCCGAGAGGATAGAGTCCATGTTGATTGATACATACACATTAAAATCTTTTGGAGCAGATTACAGCAGTATGTTCTTGAAGTATGTGCTGCCAGTCAGACAGTACTGGTTGGAAATAAGTCCAGAGAAATGGAGAAGTGAGTTTTTGTTGTATGATGTGTTCTTTGTCAAATTTATTGTGTGTTGTTTGTTTATTGTAGTGAGAAGCCGCAATGAAATTCATAATCTGTTTAAATCACCATTGATCACCGACATCATGAGGGCTAAAAGACTGAAATGGCTGGGGCATATTAAGAGAATATCAGATGACAGAGGTGAAAACTGTATACACAAGGGAGCTGAATAGTCATAGACCACAAGGCAGACCAAGAAGATGATGTAGAGATAATATCTAGACAGACCTATAAACCCTTGTTGTCACCAGCTGGAAAGAGAAGGCCAAACAGAGAGATGAGGGTAGGCATGTGATATCTCCAGCAAGGAACCTCAAGGGCTCAGAATGCTGTAGAAGAAGAGGAAGCAGAATACCTATAAAGAACCCTTTCATGACGTGGACACAATCTCACAGCGCTCAACAGCCCGATAAACATCTTGTGTCTCGTCTCGTCGCCTGCTAACTATCCATTTGTTGCCAGATTCTCGATAGCTAGATACTTGACACCGATTCACTTGATATTCGGCTGAGTCAGTCTTGACTAGCTATCTGGGTCGGCTACGTTTGGGTTATTAGCAGCCCGTATACGCACTATTACCAAAGCGACTGCCTTGAATACTGTTTGGAGAGCACACTTGGTGTCCTTTTTAGGATACTTTAAAAGTCTTGCCGACCTCTCAGAGATCAAGCTTTAGCTAAAGCACCTTATAGGCACCGCCTAGTTACCGCAACCGACAAGATGGGAAAAATCAAAAAGCAAGTAAAAGCCGCAGCAGCCCATAGTGCCGATACTGCTCGAAAAGGCACGATTCAAGGAATGCCTGCTAGCCAAAATCAATAGCGACTTCAAGAAGCCTAACGTAAATCTACCCAGCAAACAATCAGACAGTCAGAAGACGCAGAAAACTTACTAAAGACCAGAGAGCTACTAACTAGTATCAGAGCAACCCAGGCAGAAGAGGAACTATGACGCCAGTCAGAAAGAGAGGAGAGAAGGAAGTAGCTGGCCGAGCTAATAACTGCACGAGAAGCCGCATTCCGTAAACTTGTCCAGCTAGTGAAAGCTAGTGCAGAAGCCGTAGCAGCAGCACAAGCAGCAAAATCAGAACGTGCCTTACTGGAGAAGGAAAGAAATGCTACCAAGAAACCAAGTATCAGCAGGGCTGACAAAGGTGTATCCACCGACAAAGTAACAACTATGAAGCACCAGGCACAGATGACTGAACCACCCAAAAGAGGCACAGAAACCGATAGCTTGGCCCACTAAGTCAAAGAGCTGATGACCCTCCTCGAGTCCACCAGAGAAGACAGACGTCAACTTGACAAAAAGATGGAAGATGACAAAATCATACAGGCACAACTAGCAGAGGCATGGGCCCTAGTTTAACCCTACAAAGTGACAGATATTGACAAGGAAACGCGACTCGAATACTGGAAGTTTAGAAGAACCACAACGGACGAGGAAAGGGAGCAGGCCCACTGGCAGCGAACACCCCAAGGCAAGCGAGGCAGATGAAGGAACGTCCTCTAAGAAAACCCAGTAGAAACCAGCAACCAAGGGAAACCACATAAGCCGCCATGACAGCCCACCAAACCAGCTCACCGGCACGAAGAAACCCCACAGCTCGCGACCAGCCAGGCATGATGTCTACCACCAAATTCACTCCCACCCATACCCAGGCCACCCCAGGCTATGGCCTGCACTTTTTAGGGCAGACAGAGACCCCCACCCTACACACAGGAATCGGACAAAGCGACGACAACCTCAGGAGTATTAAAACTTCGCAAACAAATAGAAGAGAATTGGAAACGAATTCTAAGCAAATAAACGACGCCACGAAAATCGCTGCTCATTCTAGGAGCTGACTGAAAGTGGCAAGAAAGTTTTTTTATTTTCTTTAATTGTTCAAGTTCAAGTTCATCATCATCAGGTGCCATGTCGATCATGCCTCTCCATAATCTGCGATCTCCTGCAGCATGTATCAGTTCGTGTGCCGACATACATCCATGCCATGCAACAAGACTGAGTTCAAGTTCAACTGACACATTAGCATGTTGGTCTGGCCACATATTTTTAAAAACCAGTTAGCATTCAATGAATGTGGTCCACATTATTCCAATGATTTTACTTCGCAGAAATATTTTGGTACAGATTTTGAGCTGGGCCAACCCGGGAGCCTAGGTCATAACAATTCCATAAATTGATCAGGGACCATCTCCACAGGGAAAGTTGACTGCAATAGATCTCCAACATACTCTGTCTCGTGTCTTGGTAGTGGACTCCCTTAGACTGTTGTTCATGCTTACATTGATGTATCATTGTCTACCTATTGCTGTCTTGCCTTCGATCTTTCCCCTCCAGTATAGTTTTTAAGAGAGTGTTATGTCTTTTATGTGGCCAAAAATATTTCAGCTGTTTCTTTTTTATTTTTTTCAATAATTCTTCAATGTCAGTCTGTCTAAAAGCTCTGTGTGTCTGTTTTGTTTTGTTTTGTTTCCATAAAATACAACCTGTTCTTCTGTATCTCCAGAGACTGAGATTATTTTAGTTGCTTGTTCAGTGGCCAGGTTTCTGCACAATACAGCATGTTGAGCATACACAAAATTTGATGTTTCTCTTTTTCAATGTGTCTTCTATCTCTCTAGTTGTCAATAAATTGTGCATATTGTTGAAGGTAGTTTTAGCCATTTCTATTCTCTTTTTTTTTTCCTAGGGTAAAGAGTGAGGGATATTACCTCACGGTGTGTGGCAGACATATCTTGATGGATAACCCAAGATCCTGTTTGGTTGCCATCTCTTGACCTAGCACGTATATGGCTCCACAGATACCACTTGTGAACGGCAGTGGCCACACCATGGGCAACAGTCCTATGGCTAAACTACATGGGTGAGGTGGGAGTAATATCCTACTATAAGGGAATGACCATCCCTAGTATACAAAGACTGGGACGGTGAACTAGGTGGAAGAATCTATAAACAGCTTGTAAAGTGAAACAGCAGAGTGCATGGCATACATGAGATGTTTTCATGACACAATAGAGAACATAGCTGGCTATTGTGGTAAAGATTGGGACCTCACCATATATAACCCTAGATCTGGCAATGGAACAAGTGGGAGGACAACTGTAAGCGATAGACAGACAGTAGTCTGAAAGAGTGTAAGCCAGGACAAGAGATAAAAGCATGCTGGAGATCCATTGCAGCCAGCCTTCTGTGTGATGACACCTGATTGATTCTTCTTTTTATTCTTCTTTTGTTCGCCTGAAATGAGTTGTCTATACCAGCAATTTTGTCTCTCGTGCAAATTTCACGGTCGTTGTTAGTTCATTCAGTGGTCCATAGAGTTTACGTTCCACTGTTCTTTCTGACCAAAAGGTTTGCTTAATGTGTCAAATTCGGTGCAGTCCTGGAGTACATGATCTGCTGTCTGGGGCACTTTTCCACAGGTACACATAGCTGATATGCCTATCTTGAATTTTGTGTACATGTGGTTACGTAATCAGTTGTGCCCTGTTCTGAGGTGGAGGATAATGACTTGTTCTGATCTGTCCATAATAAAATAGTCGTCTTGTGCTGAGGATGGTGGTTTCCTGATCGATTTAATGATTCTTTTCTTTTGGTGGTATGTGACTGGTACATCCGGCTGCACTTTTGTCGCACCTTCCCCTGCCAGTTGATCAGCTTTCTCATTTCCAAGCACTCCACAATAAGACAGTACACCCGATTGATGATTGATTCCCTTTTTTTTTTTTAGTTTAAATTTTTCCTAATTCCAGCTTTATGCCAGCTGGAACCCAAGACTTCCACTCTGGCAGGCAAGTGTCTAGTCACTGCACCACTAAACCTTCATTTTTATGTCTTGACTCATCATCTTCTTCTCCTTGTTCTTCTTGTTCTTGTTCTTTTTCTTCAGCATTCTGAGCTCTTGAGGTTCCTTGCTGTAGATATCACCCACCTCCATTCATCTCTCTGGTTGGCATTCTCTTTCCAGTTGGTGACACTAAGTGTTTTGTAGGTCTGCATGGATATTATCTCTCCATCATCTCTTATTAGTCTACCTCATGGTCTACAACCATTCAACTTCCTTGCATACCATTTTTTCATCTCTGTCATCTGACATTCTCTCAATGTGCCCCAACCATTTCATTCTGTTAGCTCTTGTGATGCCGGTCATGGAGAGAAGAGATGTCTGTATCATACCATTAAAAAGTAAACTCTCTTTTGTGGCTGCAGAACTGACGACTCTGTTTTGCAAACTATATGATGAAAGCAAGGTGGATCAAGGAATCCTGGCTCGGATCATTCACCAGGTCATTCAAGGCAGCTGCTTGCAGGGTGAGCCTTATCCTCGGAGGGTTTTCAGCTTCTTCACAAAAGTCATGGAAAATATCAGGTATCATGTGATCATCTTCATGATTGTGTATGTACATTTGTTCCTTGTGGAAAGGGAAATGAATTACATGGGCAAATGATTAGGTTTTTTGCCTGGTGCTTTGAAAGTCATGGGTTCACACTGGGAGTTTCTACTTAAATTAGTCTGTTACTTTACTTTACTGTTACTCTCTAGTGTTACATCTGCTTGATCTGTTATTGGTGTCTTCAATATATTTGTGTCCTTATAACTTATTTGTAGTCCAACATTTGATGCTTTTTTTGCTACATCATCTGTTTTTCTTTATATGTCATTGATGTTCTAACTTAGCAGATCAATATCATTCGCAGAATCAAGATCTTCCAGTTGTAGTTGTCCACCCAGTCAGTGCCTGTGTTTTGAACAGGAGGTAAAATGTATGCATCCCTCTTTCACTGCAGTTTAAACTGCAAACCAGTCACTTCAACCATCATCCATTCACACCACATACCTTAAGTCTTCATGGATTGATTGCTTTAATAATCTTTATTATTTTATTATAGATGGCACAGCATCCCACGATTTCCTGCAGCAGTGTGTAAAAAAAAAAAGCTGCCTGAAAGTGTTGTTCGTGTATATATATATGTGTGTATATCTTGAGGCCTCAGAGATGTGGTTTTACTTAAGATTCCTTAGAATTTCTTGGACAGCTAAGAAGAGTAACCTAGATGTTTTGAAAGAGATGAGAGCTCGAAGACAACTTATTACAAACATTAGAAAAAGAACATTTGTTAGCCATGTTATGAGAATAGGGAAAATTGAACATGTTGTGACCACTGGAAAGATTTGTGGAAAGAGGCGCGGAGGAAGACAGCGCAAGAAGATTCTTGACAGTTTTTTTATCATGGCATGGAGGGATGTCAACACACGAACTGATACACACAGTTGCGGATCGCTCACGTCATTTGGCAATGCACTTGATGATGATGATGTATGAGATGGGGAAAAAAACTTTGTCATGCCTGCACAATGGTTGGATCCACAGACTTTGGTTATATTATGTGAAGAGGCCCAAATTTCTTCCATAGTGAGACTCTCGTATCACTGTCGTAAAGCCACAGGAACATAAATTTTCTGTATGCATGTTTTAATTTGTAAAATTTGTCCAGGGAGCTCAAGGACACAAGTGTCATTGAGAGTATCCTGATGTCTTTAAACATCTTCTGCCAGACGGTTGCACCAAACAACCGCGTCCAGCTGTGTTACTTTGGTGAAACTCAGATGAATGGCTTTGTTTTCCTGTGGAATAAGCTAAACACAGATACAATTAAGGTAGTGAAGTTTTACAACTTTGTAAAGGTTGTGTTATCTTGTCTGCTTCTTTTTCTACTTCTTTTTCTCTTTCTGCCTCTACTCATTGTGCCCCTTTAAATAAGCCAGGAAGGATCTGGATACAAATAAGCAAGATCTGGATACTAATAATATAGATCTAGATACAAATAAGCCAGATCTGGATAAAATTAGTCACATCTGGATATAAATAAGCCAGATCTGGAACAAAAAGGCCAGAACTGGATATAAGTAAGCCAGATCTGGATACAAATGAGCTAGGTCTGAATAAGAAAGGATCTGGATACAAATAATCAAGATCTGGATACAGATAAGACAGATCTGGATAACGATCTATATAAGATAAGTCAGATCTGGATAAGAAGGATCTGGATACAAATAAGCTAGATCTGGATACAAATAAGCCAATTCTGATATGAAGGACCTGGATATAAATAATCAAGATATGGATAAAAATAAGCCAAATCTGTATTTAAATAAGCCAGGACTTGATAAGAAGGATCTGGATATAAGTAAGCCAGAGCTGGATACAAATGAAACAGATCTATATATGAAGGATCTGGATACAAAAAAGCCAGATCTGAATAACATTAAGTCCGATTTTGGATACAAATGATTCAGATTTGGATACAAATAAGCTAGATTTAGATTTAAAGGATCTAGATATAAATAAGCCAAATCTGGATTAAAATAAGCCAGGTCTGAATATAAAGGATTTAGATATACATAAGAGAAATCTAGATTTAAATAAGCCAGATCTTGATTAAAATAAGTCAGATCTGGATTTAAAGGATCTAGATATAAATAAAACAAATCTAGATGTAAAAAAAGCCAGATCTGGATGTAAAGGATCTAGATATAAAGCCAAATATAACCCAGATCTGGATATAAAGAATCTAGATATAAATGAGCCAGATCTGGATACAAATAAGCCAAATCTATATATGAAGGATCTGGATACAAATAAGCCAGATTTTGATATAAAGGATCTAGATATAAATAAGCAAAACCTGGATTTAAAATAAAACCAGATTTGGATACAAATAGGCAGATCTAGATATGAAGGATCTGGATATAAATAAGCTGGATCTGGATTCAAATAAGCCAGATCTGGATATGAAGGATCTGGATATAAATAAGCCAGATCTTGATATAAATAAGCCAGAACTGAAAACAAATAAGCCAGATCTGGATATAAAAGATCTAGATATAAATTAGCTAAATCAAAATAAATAAGCCAGATCTGGATATAAAGGATCTAGATATAAATAAGCCAAATCTGGATTTAAATAAGCCAGATCTGGATATAAAGATCTAGATATAAATAAGCCAAACCTGGATTTAAAATAAAACCAGATTTAGATACAAATAGGCAGATCTAGATAAGATTTAAAATAAGCCAAATGTAGATTAAAAAACCTAAATGTAGATACAAAAAAACCAGATCTGGATATAAATAGGACAGATCTGAATTTAAATCGGCCAAATCTGGATTTAAAATATGCCAAATCTGGATTTAATATAGGCCAAATCTGGATTTAAAATAGGCCAAATCTGATATGAATAAGCCAAATCTAAAAACAGCCATATCTGGATTTAAAATAGGCCAAATCTGGATTTAAAATAGGCTAAATCTGGATTTAATATAGGCCAAATCTGGATTTAAAATAGGCTAAATCTGATATGAATAAGCTAAATCTAAAAACAGCCAAATCTGGATACAAAATAGCCAAATATGGATTTAAAATAGGCCAAATCTGATATGAATAAGCCAAATCTAAAAACAGCCAAATCTGGATTTAAAATGTCGCTTTGTTTAGCCCCACCATCTCCCAGTGTAATTTTTGCTGCTAGAAACAACAGCCATGTAGCTATTTACACTATTACCGCTAGAAACAAAGGCACACAAGACAGCAGCTGCTCCTTCCCGCACATGCTATGCCACTGCTGTTTGCGTGTATCGACAGGCTGCAATCAGCTCACCCTTTCCTGGCCTTTTGCAAGCAATTTTAGCTAAAAATAGCCGATAATCAACTACCCTCATGCCTGAAAGGACCGTAAACGAAAGTAGCCAAATGGCCAATGAAAAGCCTAACTGCCGAAAATTGCAGGAATTCCAACGATGATATCATTGCGGCGGTCAAAATGTACGGCTTCTAAAGGTCAGAATGTCTTCTTAGGTCAAAATTAAGGTTTCTAGCCAGGACTCACTTTTACGGTTAATTTATCTTTCCCAGTCGGCTACGGTCAGATATGGATTTAAAATAAGCCAAATCTAGATTAAAAAACCTAAATGTAGATACAAAAAAGCCAGATCTGGATATAAATAGGACAGATCTGGATATAAATAGGACAGATCTGAATTTAAAATGGCCAAATCTGGATTTAAAAAAGGCCAAATCTGGATTTAAAATATGCCAAGTCTGGATTTAAAATATGCCAAATCTGAATTTAAAATGGCCAAATCTGGATTTAAAATAGGCCAAATCTGGATTTAAAATATGCCAGATCTGGATTTAAAATATGCCAAATCTGGATTTAAAATAGGCCAAATCTGATATGAATAAGCCAAATCTTAAAACAGCCAAATCTGGATTTAAAATAGGCCAAATCTGGATTTAAAATAGGCTAAATCTGATATGAATAAGCTAAATCTAAAAACAGCTAAATCTGGATACAAAATAGCTAAATCTGGATTTAAAGTAGGCCAAATCTGGATTTAAAGTAGGCCAAATCTGATATGAATAAGCCAAATCTAAAAACAGCCAAATCTGGATTTAAAATGTCACTTTGTTTAGCCCCACTATCTCCCAGTGTAATTTTTGCTTCTAGAAACAACAGCCATGTAGCTATTTACACTATTACCGCTAGAAACAAAGGCACACAAGACAGCAGCTGCTCCTTCCCGCACATGCTATGCCACTGCTGTTTGCGTGTATCGACAGGCTGCAATACAGCCCACCCTTTCCTGGCCTTTTGCAAGCAATTTTAGCTAAAAATAGCCGATAATCAACTACCCTCATGCCTGAAAGGACCGTAATCAAAAGTAGCCAAATGGCCAATGAAAAGCCTAACTGCCGAAAATTGCAGGAATTCCAACGATATCATTGCGGCGGTCAAAATGTACGGCTTCTAAAGGTCAGAATGTCTTCTTAAGGTCAAAATTAGGGTTTCTAGCCAGGACTCAATTTTACGGCTAATGTATCTTTCCCAGTCGGCTACGGTCAGATATGGATTTAAAATAGGCCAAATGTAGATTAAAAAACCTAAATGTAGATACAAAAAAGCCAGATCTGGATATAAATAGGACAGATCTGGATATAAATAGGACAGATCTGAATTTAAAATGGCCAAATCTGGATTTAAAATAGGCCAAATCTGGATTTTAAATATGCCAAATCTGGATTTAAAATAGGCCAAATCTGGATTTAAAATAGACCAAATCTGGATTTAAAATAGGCCAAATCTGGATTTAAT